CCCTGTGCCCGTGTCATGCACAGCAAGAAAGGTGAGCAGGAAAGCTCCTGAGCCTCATCCATTGGGGAATTCACCTGCAGAGCCCCAGGGGCTGGGGATGTCAATGTCCGGGTTCGTGTCCTCACTGCCAGCAAAGCCCCACGCAAAGCAGCCCCACAGGCGGCTCCGTGCAGCCCCTGCCCCAGGGGACTCGCTTTCCGGCTGGGCGTGCAAGGTAGAACAATGGGGCCGAGCCCTCTATTGTTCCAGACAAAAGATAAGCCGGGCTCTGGCATTCCCCAACCGGAGGGCAGGGACTGGCCGAGCCCTTCCCTGCCCCGGCTCCATGGGGACAGGTGGAGAGGGGCCGCAGGAGGTCCTGCCCCTTGCGCAGCCCCCAGCTCACACCTCCACACACACACACACACACACGTGCACACCCTTGCACACACGCTCCATCCCCACAGCCCTGCAGGCTTTGCCCCAGCTCTGCATTGCCCTCCCATTTCTGCAGCCTCACGGTCTCCATGTGTCCCCATCTCCATGTGTCCCCATCGTCCAGCTGTGCACCCAGCGCCTCCCCAGCCTCCTTCCAGCTCTTGGTCCCATTCTTTCCTCTCCCTGAGCTGTTCCTCCTCTCTGGGACCAATTTATGGGAAGGATGAGTGCTGCTACCCCAACAGCTCACAGCACCTTGCACGGCACAGCAGGCTCAATGCACCCCACAGCAATGGGGCAGTGCAGCAGGGATGAGGGTTGCCCAGTGGAACTGATTGGGGCCCCCCAGCCATGTCCACTGCAGCCCAACCCATCACCCACACCTTCACTTTTTCTGTATTTTCTCAGAACAAGGCTACCAACACTCCCCTGTGAGAGAGGAAGAGCACGGAGTGCTGCGTGCTGCATCCACGGGGCACCCAAACAGGAGCAGAAGGTGACAGCCCAGGGGTGATAATTGCTGCAGTGGTCATTAAATATGGAATGTGTCCATGCCAGGGAACAGCACCGCTGTTGCACAGTGCTGGCAATACCTGCAGGTACTTCTCTGCCCGTTTCTATTCCTTTGCTTCTTTCCAGACTCCAGCCCAGCCCTCAGTAACTCCATTTCTCAAGGGCAAAGAGGACCAAATACCCCTCTGCCACCCCACACCCTTTGAATTCTCTTCGCCACACATCTCCTCCCAGCAGACAACCAACTGCCATTCGCCCCCTTCACCAACCAGAACAAACAAACAATGCCTCAAACCATCAGATCTCAGCCAGGGCCACCCAAAATGCTGCTGGAAGGATGAGCCCCATTACCTTGTTCCTCTAAGATGAAGCAGCCTCGGTGGTGGGGCTGAGCTCCACTTCCAGCACGTGCTCACAACTTGCATCAATGCTTTGTGGGATCCGATTTGGCCGCTGCATTCCCCACACTCCTTTTCTCCCTGACCCATCCCAGCAGTCCCAACACCAACCAGCAGTGCTCCCTGCATCTCCCCAGTGCCAAAGCGACAGCACCGGGCACACCAAGTGCCCTTGTTTGGGACTGGAGCACATCCAGCATTGGACATATGGCCCCGGAGCAGGTGGGGTGGTAGAAGAGAGGAGGGGGAAGGGAGAGCTTCCAACTGCAGAACCATTTCCAAAAGTCGGTGCCTTTGCCATCGCTCCTCCTGCTGGGAGCGGCCGGGCTGAGGGAGCCCCATGCTGAGCATAGGGCACAGCCCGAGGGAGAGGGTTTGGCTCTGAAATATTCTCCAAAAGGCATAGGATGGGGGGAAGGCACCGACTGCTTTCCCAGCAGCACTGTCACAGGCCGCCCTAATTTATTTCCCTTTTGTCTGTTTTGTGCTGTGCAAAAACTGGGTGGAAATGGGGTGATGCATCGCGACAAACTTTTGAAGCAGCCCAAATCTTCCTCCCCCCCACGCAGCACAATGAGACCCAAACCTCCAAAGCTGATGAGAAACCAACAGCAGAGCTGGGGACGGCCCAGAACTGTAGGGACACCATGGGGCTGCAGACCCCCAGGGCTGAGTCCCCATCAGACCACAGCCAGACCCGGCTGCTGCTGGATGCACAGAAAGAGGCAGCTCACATTTCTAGCAGAAAACAAACACATTTCACCAGCAGTTTGCACTGATGCTCTGCTCAGCACACAGCCAAACCAGAACAGAACAAAAGAGTCCAATGGGTTTTCCCCATGCTGTTGTCCAGAGCTGCATGGACAGGGCAGTGTTTTGATTTCAGTACACAGTTGGTAGGAAAATAAACATGATGCATTTTACCAGCACAGCGGAGCACTTTGGGGTGTAAAAGCAGAGCAGAGCTGTGGTGATGCGCGTTGAAGGCTGTCCATCTGGTGATAAAGGCTTTTCTGCTCTGCAATCACACGCACAAAGCAGCTCCAACCCTAAGTGTTCACAATAGGATGGGGCTGAGCAAGCAGGAGTGCAGCATCGTGTCGGACAGACAAAGCTGGGTGCACATTGGGTGGCATGCCCTGTGTCCACGAGGAGGGACAGCCAGGAGAAGAGCCAAACTGCACCAAAACCCTTTCAACTTTGTTTGCTGCCTCAGCTCCGTGGCCATCCAAGCATCCCATGTCCTGCACCCCACAGACCACCCTCACCAACAGGGTTACTCTGAGCCACCCCACGTGCTCAGCAGCAAACTCCAGACCCTAAAGCCATCCCCGCCCCATGGCACCGAGCCCCCCATCATCCCCAAGCACTCACCTCAGTGCAACCCACACTGTTGGCCACCAATGCCCCCATCCCCAACCTCTGTGACAGCAGCCCAGCATCAGTTCCAGGAAGGCAACAGGCAGCAAACCCCTCCAGCAAGTAACAAATGTAAAAATAAATGCACTGAAAGGAAAGATTTACTGTGCTGCTGCTGCTGTGTGCCCTGCATGGAAGGAAAAGCCCATCCTCAGCATCCCATGGATGGGGTTAAATCCCCTCCAGCAAATAGCAAAGTTTACGAGTTGCTCCATCTCACTGCTAGGGTGCAGCTCCCCATGAGAAATGGGGGGACAAAAAGCTCAGCTATTCCCCCCCTGGGGCACTTCAACCTTCTGGAACAAACTCTGCTCTCAGGATCGTGCAGGCTCTGTGATTTAGGAGTCAAAAGCAGCAGCAGGGAACGCACGCCGCGGTGCGCTTTGCTTTGCGCACCCAACAGCTCCTACCAAACAGCCCCCAGAGCAACAAACGTACTTCAAGGAGAAGGAACAGGGATATATATTTTAAAGTTCGTGGTCTCTGCTCCTACCTAATGGTGCTGCTCGCTGGGTGCTGAGCTCCTGTGGGGCGATGGGCTGGCAGTGCAATGAGAGCTGCTAAAAAACGTAGCACCCGCGAAGCCCAACCTGAACCACCTCCACCAAAGGACAGCGGCTGTTTTTAATGCGATGGCCCCGAAATCGCAGCCTTTCAAAGAAGAAGAAAAAAAAAAAATCGACCCCATGCTGTATCAGTGTCAACAGAATGGATTCTGTGCAAAATTAAATTGAACTAAAAGGAAATTGCACGGATTACAAGCGCGGGTTATTGGCTCAATAGGGGAGTAACTGAGCGATATTATCTGGTCTGCGCTACGGAGAAAATAACATTAGCTGAGCTAATGGTCCTTTTTCACTCCTAAAACCTATTACTCCAGATCTGCTTTGGAAGCAGAGTATATTTCCATGGAAGTACCTTGTGAGACGGAGCAGTTTGAGCGCTGTGCAGCCACAGTCTGACATTTTTCCCAGAGAAATCCCATGTCCACCACTGGCAGTCAGGTTGGGGTGGAAAGGAGCAGAGCTCTGCATCTGTTTGCGCACTTCACATGAAAACTGCTCAACTGCAGCTCAGGGTGACACAGCTCTGGGTTCCTCTCTCCCACCACTAACTTTATGTGAGCTGCCCTTCGGGTCCCACCACACACATACCTGAGCCGAGGGGTCACACCAGATGGAAACCCCCCACATCACAGCAGTGCAGGACCCCCAGGATCCCACTCAGTGACCCAAATCTGCCCTGAACTGTCCCATACCACATCTCCGGTGCGTGGCTGCATGATGCAGTGACACGGATCAGCCGTAATTTGGGCTCAGACAGCAGACAGCTCTGTGCTGACTCCGGCTGTGCCCCGTGGCAGCGCCGCCGCTGCACTGTTGGAGCATTTTGTTGGATGGACAAACAGCCGCACGGTGCTGCCAGCAAGTTTTCCTGCCCTGCGCTCTGTGCCGGTATCCCGACGGCGCTGCAGGGATGTAGGGGGGATCAGAGCGATAATACACACGGGCAAATTGCCTCTGCCATCCAACAAGGCAGCAACAGCACATCCATCCCCTGGGGGAGAAGGGACGGGGACCCAAAGGACGGGGACCCAAAAGACGGGGACCCAAAAGACGGGGACCCCAGCCCCGCAGCCCTCCGAGCTGCGAAGCCCCACACGGCCGCACGCAGCCCCGCACACCCCGTGTGTGGCCGAGTCCGGCTGTGCGCGGTGTGTGCCGGCACATGGTGTCTGTCTGTCTGGCCGTCCGCTGCGTCCGCCTGCGTCGGCGGGGCTTCCAGCCTTCATAACCCGCTGCCCCTAAAACAGCCCTAAAACAGAGCGCACGACACGGCACGGACAGGAGCTGGGACGCGTCCCACTGGGGGTCCTGGGGAGGGGGCTGCAATGGGATCACACTGAATACGAAGCGGAGGGGGGAGGGTGCCGCGGATTAACCCCTTCCCTGCCGCGCTCTCGCTCCCCCCGGCGCTGCTCTCGGAGGAGTTTGCAGCCCCACAAGTTTGTAACAGGACTGGGACCGTGCGGGGAAGGACGCGGAGCTCCGCTTTCCCCCTTTCCCATTCTGTTTAAGCAAAGGGTTGATGGGGTTCTGCCATGCGGCCGCACAGCCGGAGTTGGGGGCACCACGACCCGGGACGGTGCTCAGCGCCCCAGAGCCGTGTCCGTGCACTCCCCTCTCCTCTCCCCCCACGCAGTGCCCCACATGGCCGTGCCTCTGCCCCGCTCCCTGCCCCGCCCGCACTCACGGCTCCGCCGCGCTGCAGCGCTGCGCCCGGGTCCGGGTCCCGGTCCCGCTCCGGTGCCGTTCCCGGTGCCGCTCCCGGTGCCGCTCCCGGTGCGGGCTCCGCCGCCTCTCGCACGGCTCAGGTCCGCTCCATGTCCCCGGCGCCTCCGCTGGGAGCTGCCCCGGCGCCGGGCGGAGAGAGGGAGCGGGGAGGAGGGGGGGTAGGAGGAGGAGGAGGAGGAAGAGGAGGAGGAGGAGGAGGAGGGCCCAGCAAACCAGCAGCCGGCTGAGGGGCGGCCCTTCTGCCCCGTCCCCTCCCCTCGGGACCCCCTGCTTTGCCCCGACGGGGGACCCACGCGGGACGCCGCTTCTGCTCCGTCCCGGACTCGTGGCGGTGGGGAGCGGAGGAACCCCCAAGGACTTGGGCAGAGTTTGGGAGACGCGTCCCCGTACCCCGCATCCCGCTGCCAGGAATGAAAGGCGGAGGGTCGCGGCTACGCTGGGAGCGCAGGGATGGTTGGGGCGCACACGTGTTGACAAACGCTCTGCTTTGCAGAATGAGATCTTTAAAATGTTATGTCAACATTGAAGGAGGACTGTTTACGTTTTGCCAACAGGGAAAATTCCCATTGACTCGAAGCCATTTCCTCCCCCCACACCATCGTTTTCTTCCATGGGAATTTCTTTTTTGTTTTCAAGCTTTGTTTTCATCCAGCCCCAGGAGCGTGACACAACAGCTCCGGGGACCTCCTCCCACTCCGTGCAACTGGAAATTGGGCTTTCCGGGGGGAGGGGGGGGTTATTGGACCCCCCCGACACCCCATGTCCACCCCTCACCATGGGAAACCTCTCCATCACCACTGCAGGGAAGGGAGCAAAGAAACGTGCTGAGCTGCAGCCACGCTGTGGGCACAACACAGAGGGAAGAGCGAGGTCAGGAGTGACCTGGGAGAGCTCCTGGCATCAATCAAGAACATTAAACACAAAGCACGGGAGCGCTGGGAAGCAAGAGTAGAACCCCGCAGGTCAAAGAGCTGCATCCACCTACGTTCCCGTTTTACATATGGAGAAACTGAGCCCTGCAATGCACGTGGAGCTGTGCAGAGAACTGCAGGCCTGCAGCAGGGTGGGATGCAAAGGCAGCTTCCCAATCCGCTGCCCCCCGACCCTCCCAAAGCCCCCCATCTTATCCCATAGCAGGAATAGCCCCCGGCCGCCCCACAGACCCCACAGCCGCTCTGCGGGCAGAGGCGCATCCCCTGAACCAGAAAGGGAAACAATTAACAAAGGGGCTGAGGACCCACACAATTAAACCCAAAAGAGGGAGAAGAGGCTTTGTTCGGGTCGCCATGGCAACAGCCAGCCCGGAGTAGCGGCCACGGACTTTCACTTTCCGTTCCTTCCTGGCGGTGGTCGTGGTGGCCCCGGTGGCTTCTCCACTGAGTGCCGGTGCCCATTGCAGTTCCCTGGCTCTGGCATCACCCCCAGATGGGTGCTGGGCTGAGGTGGCCCAACTGGGGCTGTCACCACGCATGGACCCTCTCAGCCCAGCTCTGCTCCTGTCACATCCTCCTTCAAACAACACCAGGTGCACCTGCACCTTCTCTCCACCTCCTGCAGGGCACTGCCAGGACACACAGAACATCACCAACAGCCACAGAGCATCACTGGGACCCACAAAACACCCCCGGGACCCATGGAGCAGCCCCAGTATCTACGAAGCATCCCAAGATCCACAGACCAACCCTAGGACACATGGAACATCACAAGGATCCCAGGACCCACATAGCATCCTCGGGACCATGGGCACGAGGTGGATGTGATGGTGCAGAGATGGTCCTCACCCCTCCCGAGGGGCTCACGTGGTGCCTCTGTAGCTCCATCTCTCCCCACCTGGCCACATCCAGGCTTACAACCAGGGCAGCTCCATGGCTGTGGTTCCCCCTGCAGCATTCTGCTTTCCTCAGCAGAAGGAAGCTGGGACAATGGGTGGAGGGACCAGGAAAGCTGGTGGGGGCAAAGATCCCACTGCCTCCAGTGCAGGGGGCATGGAGGGGAAAGGCACAGCCAGCACTCGCCTTCCTTTTCCCAAGCCCCCCCACCCCTCCATGCAGCCTGCAGGGCCTCCAGCCACGGTAGCAATGCCTCCTGCTTTGTGCTGGCTGCAAGTCCCAGCCTCCAGATCGCAGGATGCTGTTCCCTGAGTCATGGAAATGGTTCAGACAATGGCTTGGCCCCTTTATAAGTGGCCAGAGGGGGCAAAGCAGGGAGAACAAATCCGACCTTGCTTCCTGCACGGAAGTGGGCCCATTGTTTGGGAATGGGCATGTGCTTTGCTCCTCACCAGCCTGGGAAAGCTGCAAAGCCATTGCGAGCAGGGAGTGAGCCACACAGCTCCCCATCCATACAGGAACCGAGGCAACACTGCTGCCACTGCCATCAGCAGGACCACTGCTGAACCACTGCCCCAAAAGTCCCTCACACATCCAAGGGATGCACATGTAACGTGGGCTTGCACTGTGTCAGTGTGCACACACACACAGAGGCAGACAGACACACATCTGCAGCCCATTAGAGCCGAGCTGATATGACTGTTAATGGAGAAGCTCAAACTCTCTTGAAACTGAGTGGCAGCTCCAGGGCTGTCCTCACTTCACCTCTTTGCACTCGCATCTTGAGGGCCATTGGGACGTGGCACACCAAGGGTCCCCTGCAGCCAAAGGACCAGGTCTGGGGCTGAGAGGGAGAACACAGAATCACAGAAACATCCAATATCCCAACTTGGAAGGGACCCATCAGGATCATCGAGACCAATGTAGGCACTGGGGGAAGACTGCTGTGACAGAGGTGCCCAAAGCCCCCCACACCTGCAGCATGTCCCCTGCTCATCACAGCACAGGCTCTGAGCAGAGCTGCAGGAATCAACCTGCTGATTGTCCCCACCCAAACCCTACCATTCCCCCGAGGTGCTGGGAGCTCCATGCTGCCTTCCTCCCTGGCGCAGGCACTGCTCTGCTCCTGCAGGGAGTCTGCCCACAGCCTCACAGGCTCTAATCTGGCTGTAATAAAACCAAAATGCTCTGGGATGGCTCTGCGGGGAGAGCAGCTCCACCAGCACTCAGAGAGAGCTCAACAGAAAAAAAAAAAAAAAGTAAAATTGAGCAAATTGTGGTTCTGCAGGAAAGCAGAGCTAGCTGGGGCAAAGGGCTGAAGGCACAGGTGAACCTCAGCCAGTGCACGAGCTGAAAGAGCTGAGCAGAAGGAAGGGAAAGGCTCCCTCCAGGCCGGCATGCACACAGTGCCAGCTAAAATCCTGGCTCTCACTGTGCCCTGGACCACCCCTCCCAGTGCAGACCCCAACCACAGGTGATTTTTGCTGGCGTTTGCCCACACAGGAGCAGAGAGGCATCCTGGGCACAGGGCTGGAGCACAAACAGCATCCCAAGGTTGGGGTGTCAGGAAGCCCCCAGCATTCTCCAACTTCCCAAAACCCTGTCACATTTGAAAGACACGGGGGGGCCCCAATGCTTCCAAATGCATTGCAGCTATAAGCAGCCAAAGCACTGCAGGCAGGAGGACAGAGTGCAGCTGTGAGCACCCCGGGCTCTGGAGAGGCTCCTGCCCATCACCACCCCCATCCATCACCACCACCTCTGGCTGCTGTGACCATCACCATCCGCCCAACCCTGGGTACCCATCTCATCCCCCCAAGCACCAACAGAACTCCAGTTCCAAACTGGGAATCGACAGGGAGAGCAAACCACGACGCATCTCTGCCACTCTGTACCCAACCTGAACACCTCTGTTTATCCCTACCCAAAGCACAGCCAGCCCCGTGGCCACAGCTAGCCACACACGTGGCAACGGCCTGCTGCTGCTCTCCTAGGGTGAGGCCACGGGGTGGGGAGCACACAGCCATCCTGGCAGCCTGAAGCTGTGCTGGGGCAGTGCTGGGTGATGCTGAGCAGGCCGCACCACAGAGCTGCAGGGGGTGGGAGGGGGTGCCTGGACCACCCAGCGGGCAGGCAGGGCTGGGGGCAGCGCGGTGGCACAGCCACGTCCCCAGGCTCCCTGCTGCCACCCGGGATGTGGCGCTGGGGGACGAACCCATCGGCTGTGTTTCAAAAGCAGCCATGGGCTCTGGGGCCCTTTGCTCCCAGTTGGGCTCCAGTAGGAGCACGGCTCTGCCTGTGCCACCCACCGCCCACCGGCCGGACCCTCCAGCACAGCGACAGAGGGGTTTTTCTTGTCCCCCCCTCTTTGTTTTCTATTTTGTGCTTTTGTTCTCCTCTCTTTGGTCCTTTGTTCCAGCTTGTCCTTTGTTCCAACGCCTTTGGTTTCTCGTCCCTTTGATGCTTTGTCACTCCCTTCATCTTGGAGCTTTTCTTTCCCCGGGTTTTGAAGCTGGCGGTTGTTTTCTGTCCCCGCTCTGTGCTTGGCATTTTTATCCTTTCTCCTGCCTCGTCCACTTTTGGGTCACATGGGCCCGGCCCGGATTGTCTTCAAAATCCCCATTTGTCTTGTGTCGGTGCCGGGTTTCCCTGCCTTTATGTCCTTTCTTAAGAGACTCTCAGCGAATTTTTCTCCTCGTTGAGGGAAGCAGGGAGGGGGGATCGGGTTTAATTAATTACTGAGCGTAATCTTTAGATGCGCGGCACTGCAGGATGCGCGGAGCATTCTCACTAATCGTTACGATTGTGATCGGCGTGTTAAGGGTTAGCGAGGGTTTAAACACCAGCTAATTGCGGCACAGAGCTCGGACTTCGCAGAACTGCGTCGGGAAGAAGCAGGGCTGAGAGAGGAGCAGCACTGCCACACCACTGCCGGGGCAGACGGTGAGCAAAGACACAGCAAAGGGCTTGAATTTTCAGAGAGCGCTGCAGCACGGCGCCTCGAGGCAGCGCTCACAGCACAAACACGACCACAGAATCAGATACGGGGCGGTCAGGATCAGGGAACCGTTTTCCTCCGAGAGCGACTTCAATGCGCGGCGCCGTTGCTTTGCTTTGATTTAATGCCCCAAATATTTCCCCCCACCCCCCACTCAACCCCTTTTCCCCATAGACCTCGGTGAAGCCGATCCCATCGGGATCTGCAGGGCACAACTCTGCTCGTTGCAGCATCACAAGGGCTCGCTATGCGACCATGGGGTCCTTTCCCACCAAACACCACCACACCCCCTGTGCCATCCC